ATTTTCTGCTTAATGAAACCTTATGGTAGGGGTGCACTGGAACCAATATTTTAATCTAGTTGGAAGCAGTGGGCCATTCCAAAAAAATCCCCCCCCCTGTTGACTAGGTTACTGATTTTAGACCCCTTCGGAAACGGTTTTCAAGAAGACCCCCTTGGAAATTAGCTATTTTTTGTAGAACCCCTCAGAAATTAACAATTTTTCTCAAGCCCCTCGGAAATACCTGTTGACGTTGTTCCATTACAATAGACCCCTTGGAAATTTATTCACCCCCTCTGGTAGTACTTCCCCCCCCCCCCTCGGAAATTAAAAAAATATTTTGACCCCTTGGAAAAGGTACAAAAAATGTTTGACCCCTTCAGGGGGAGTGAATAGATTTTCGGATAGTCGGATTTCACAGAACAAATTGTTCGGATTTCAGACCTGGTGAATATTTTACACGGATTTGCGGATCTTATTAATACAGCGGATTGCGGATTTATCTAATATTTTGGCTCGGATTGTGGATTTAGCTTGCAATTTAGTTCGAAATTTAGTTCAGATTTAGCTTGCAATTTAGTTCGCTTTTAGTGGATTCAAGTTTAGATCTGAGACCATTGTCGGATCGTGGATTTTGCTTCAAATTTGGGCAGATCGGCGGATTTGTATACACCTATTCAGCCCCCCTTCAGAAATTGTCCTTTTATAACCACAAAATAAGTCAAAATAAGTCTTCAGTATTTCGTCCATGACTATAAGTTATCCGAAAGCTGTATTAACGTCTAACTCAGAAATACATTTTACAACAATAGATAAAATCACTGATGTATGATAAAATTTATTTCCGTTAAAAAACATGAAAAAATTATGGAAAAAAATATCGGGGGAAAAATATCAGTTAATTGAAAAAAATATCGAAAAAATATCGGTGAATCAAAAAAAATATTGGTGAATCGAAAAAAATATCGGTGCACTGAGAAAACATTGTTGTGCACTGCAAAAACATTGTTGTGCACTGCAAAAAATATTGTTGTGCACTGAGAAAATATTGCTGTGTACTGTAAAATATTGCTGTGCACTACGAAACTTTGAAGCGCGTGTTGAAATATTGTTGTGCATTGCGTATATGGGCCACTGTAAGTTTCCACTTAAAACTACAGAAACATTTCGTTTAACACCTGTGACAGAGAAGTTTGTTTATCTTCAGTTGAAACCAAATAAAGCAATTGGCCTGGACAAAATCAGATCGAGATTACTTAAGGATGGTGCAGAAGTTATCGCCCCTATCCTCACAAAAATAATGAATTGTTCATTCAATTCAAAATATTTCCCTCAGTCTTGGAAATCTTCTAAGGTTATGACATTGTTTAAAAAAGGTAGTACGGACGATTGCAACAATTATAGACCCATATCAATATTGCCCACCATCAGCAAAATTACCAAACATGCAGCGTAAAAGCAATTTTACAATTACCTTCAAGTACACAACCTCCTATGAAGCAGTTTGGTTTTCGTCAAAAGAGATCGACATCTAGTGCTCTTCTCCAGTTTAGGGATGACATCTTAGGGAACATGGAGAATGGTCAAGTGACTGGAGTTGTGTATCTTGACTTGAAAAAGGCCTTAATGACACGGTTAATCACCGTATCCTAATTGTCAAAGTATGTGCCATGGGAGCTGATGATTCGTCAATCAGGTGGTTTAAATCATATTTAAATAATCGGAATCAGAGAACTGTTGTGGGAAATGCGATGTCTTCTTCTCATTCAGTGAACATAGGAGTCCCTCAAGGCAGCGTACTTGGTCCTCTATTCTTCTTAATTTACATTAACGATTTAGCTCAGGGTTTGCAAAACTCGAAAGCTGCATTGTTTGCTGATGACACCGCAATTTATTGTTCTGCAACTTCTGCTGCAGACCTACAGTTACATCTTAATGAGGATTTGAAGATTGTTAGGAAGTGGATGGAAACAAACAAGTTGACTTTGAATGTTTCTAAAACTAATTTAATGGTTATTGGAGGAAAGCAAAGATTATGACGTCTAAATTCCATTGAACTGACAATCAACGAAGAGTTAATTGACCAAGTTGACAAATTTAAATATCTTGGCATAATAATTAACGAATCGCTTGATTGGTCTGATCATATGGATTATGTCCAATCGAAGGTTGCAAAGAGGCTTGGCTTGTTAAAACGTGTAAAGCATTTGTTACCATGACAATCAAGAGAACTTGTCTATAAAACTGTGATCCAACCTGTATTGGAATATGGAGGGATCGATTTAATAACACATTGATGGAAAGGCTTTTCAAGTATTACAAAATAAAGCTGCAAAAGTAATTCTTGATAGACCATTATATTCCTCAGCTAGCGATGCTCTTCAGACCCTTGGTTGGAAGTCTTTATCAGAATGTAGACGCTTTCATAGATCGTGCATGGTTTTCAAAAGTTTTAATGCTCTTATAGATTTTAATTTTAATCAAATACGTAGGTCTGATCTTCATCATCATAACACTAGATCGGGAAGTGATTTTATCATTCCAGTATATAGAACAAACTGGGGTCAAAGTAGATCAGATTTCCTCTTTATTGATGAATTCAATAAACTACCTAAGACTCTGATGGGAGCAGATTCATATGTGCAATTTGTCAATCATTATTGGTCTCATTCTTTTTAACATGAACACCTATTATTTATCTGTAATATTGAACAAACTTATATTGATAGACTTTAGACATTTTTTAGACCTTAGACTTTATTGTATAATTAAGTATAAGTATTTACATACATACATATACATACACATACACACACACACACATACGTGCATACAAGGCTTTGTGGGGACTCGAGTGTATCAGTATATGCCAAACGATGTTTGTGGGGACTGATGTAGAAACAACTAGTATACCTAGTTATGGGGACTTGGTGTTGTAAACATTGCCAGGACTAGAAGATACACTACATGTTATTGCCTGATGTTTAGTTTTGCCAGTCATCACTGTTACTGTCTTTATCGCACAGGCATTTTGCCATTATATATCGTTGTAGGCAGCTGGTTTATAAGGCACTAAATTACGATGTTCTACGAAGCTCTTACGAGCACACGACAAACTTCAAGATGGCGGATTGCGAATTCAAGGAGTGATATTTCACGAAGTTTTATACATACCTACACTTTCAATCTATTAATCTGACTTTATAAGCAGGTATCATTTTCTTATTTTATATACAGAAACATTTATTAGCTGTTCACAATGAATATTTTCTCTATTTCAAAGCTGTTTTATTATGGTAAATTCCATAAATATAAATAATACTTGTTTGTACAATTCTGAGTTTAAAAATTAATATTCCATTCAAAATAACTATTACTTTCAGTATTTAGATTTTAATTTTACGCAGTTAAATTAATATTACTCTTAATTCTAGTTTCCATTTATTTGACTGATGGCACTAATTTTCTGCATTCCCCCATTGAGAACATCCAAATCCAATTCCTTGGAATTGCAGCTGATTTTTAATGTTCTAATTACCAGACAATAGTTCTTGTCTGCAGTGGCAGTACTTAGTGGTTTAAACAAATAATTTTATATAACAATTCACTCATCAAACCTGTTTATATGTATTATGTAAATATGTATGACACCCTTGTACACAATATATAAAGAAGCCTAACACAAAAGAGCAGCTGGCGTAATAATGGTTGCAGATCAAGCTGTGAATGAGGGCAGGAGGACTTTTAAAGTAACAGCTGTGCAATTACTGTATGGAACAGTCTATTTATAGAGTTAAGAAAGAAACTTACTATTAATGCATTTAAAATATCCTTTTGTAAGCAAATTTTAATGAAATTAATTGTCCCTTTATCATTTTAATCCCAAATTTATTTGGCATTCTCAAATATTAATTGTAATTCTGGTTTGTATATATTACCTTCAGTAAACTGTATGTATGTATAGGGCCGCTGAGAGAATTCTCAGGGCGCAGGGCAAAATTTTGTCGGGGGCCCCTATGACTTTGTTATTTTCGAAGGGCAACAATCCATCTAAAAAAGTGGTTGGGATGCAATAGCGTAACGTTATGTGAACAGCCCCTAGTACAACAGCCCCTTGCATGCCATTAAACAATAATAATAATAAAAGCATTTATTTAAACACGATAGTTAATTTGCAGCAGGGCTGCATAATATAGCGGACCATTGGTCCCAGAAAATTTTTGAAGTCAGCAGAAAGAAGTGGAAGGTAAAACCGTAAAAGGTAAAAAGTGTTAAAGGGAATTTTATAGTGACAATAATACTTTACTTAGTTTACTATTACACAAAAATACACAAGGGCTAATTGATAACATAAAAGAATATTTATTTGATAGCTATGTTGGAATGAGGTCTATTTTCAAGATTGAAATGATGTCTAGAATTTGTCTAGAATGTACACTGAAATGACTGAATAAATATAGACATAAATACATCTAACAAAACTAATTACTATTAACAACTAATTACTATTAACATCAATATATAAGAATATATAAGAATACACCCCTCCGGAGAGTACGTCATCCCGGCCACAGAGCCATTATTTAAGCCCAACATCTCGATCATGAAAACAAGGCTCTGTGGCCAAGATGAGGCATTACTTAAACCTATATCCTATATGTGGTATCGCATGGCCTTTATAATATATTATATGGGTTCCATATGACTATCCAATTTTCAATTAATGAACAATAAATTCAGTCAATACTATAAAGACAAGTAGATTTTAGTGCTCTATAAACGAAACGAAAGGCCCGCCCAGTATTTTAGAGGGTCCGAAGGCATCTTCCCCCGGGAAAAATTTTTAAATTTAGGGTCTCTGAATGCCATTTCTTGGACTTTGGAAGGGGCCTGCTCAACTTTAGGGTCTCTCACAAGTTGGGGGCCCCATTTGGTTGGGGGCCCGGGGCAAATTGCCCCCCCCCCCCTCTCGGCGGCCCTGTGTATGTAGCTGACTTACTTACTATTAGGACCAAGGGTGGCATGAACCACAGAAATACAAGGGCAGAGTTCATGCAATCGAAATAGCTGTACAATCTCATGGGCCAGCTTTCAGTATTTGAATAAGAGATATGAGCCCTAAGAAGCCCCCACCCCTAATCTAACAGATTGGGCAGTTTCTAAATTATGCAGGCATTTTTCTACCCTCTTCCTGAGAGCCAAATACTTTCTCGTTGGGGTGCATTGTTGCTTTCTGTAATGTAAGGACATATCACACAAAAATTTACTGTTTATATGTTTAGAAATGTAGTTCATCAGTATGTCCCACCCTGCTGTTAACACATACTTATTCTGTCCAATATATGTACATGATAGCAGTAGACAATATTACTTATTAACCCATTGAGTGGCAATGCGCCCCAGTGCGCCCTACTTATTTTTTTTACTTGTCTAACGCCAGACGATTTTACTCGTCAATGGGGAAGCTCTGCCGCTTAATGGGTTAACCCAAAAAATCTGACAATGTCTCTAGTTAAGGAAACTTGATATCCTTATCATTTAAAGCATACTGGTATTAAAATTTAAGCTCAGTAAGGCAGAGAAACAGAAAATTACAGCAAAATAGAAAGATGCGAGCGTACCAAATTTGGACTCTCGATATATTACAAGGTGTTTGTCACTGTCTCAAGACTGTGTTGTGAACCTTTCTTAGTAAATTATAATCAGGGGTGGATAAGCAACATTATCACCGGGCTTTAGTGTAAAAGCCCCCCCCTGTGTAACGTCATGAAAGTTTTTGTAAGCCTAATTTATCATATTTTTCATCGAATCAGAGTTAAAGAAAGTTAAATTGTATTTTTATCGTTTCCGAACTACAAGCAGATTTTCAGGTTACTTAATTTCCAAGCCCTAGAAAGAAGGGCCCCCTTATTGTAGAAACTGGGGACCCACCGGGCAATCGCCTGGTAGCCCAGTGGGCTTATTCGCCCCTGAATATAATGCACCAGTCAATGTAATTCCCCAGTAGTCCAGACAGCAGTGAAAGTGCAGGGAACTCAGTGGGGAAAATGTTATTTATTTCTTTTTTATTACAAATATGCCCCAAATTGGCAATGACTGGGACCTTCAGCAACTTTTAGTCCTTATAAAGTTTTCTTTTTTCTCAGGGTTCCACTGCTCCAGTAAAAATCATTAAATATTGTAAATATTATTATTACTTGTTTGACAATTTATTGCAGGATGATACCGGGGAAATCAATAACTGTCCATGTTAATAATGTTAAATGTCAATACAACATTGACCTATGAAATAAATATTATATATTAATGATAGACAAAAATTTTCTACCCCTGATAGGTACAAAATTTAAATTATGTATTAACCCATTGAGTCGCATTGCGCCCTGATGCGCCCTACTTTATTATTTTACTCTCTCTAACACCAGACGATTTTACTCGTCAAGGGGAGAGCGCTGGTGCTTAATGGGTTAATTTATGCAAATGAGACAATATACACAATTAAGGTCTGTTATAAAGAATGCTTATCGGCATTTGACTAAATTGGTTGAGCTCCATATAGGTGGGTATTTGACGCTAGTTCATCCCGCATTGATCGTGGTTGGATTTGACTTGTACATTATGTCCACATTATACAGTGACTACTTTCTCAGTATGTCTTTGGAAATCCTTAAATTATTGAGTCACTAACTACATAGGCTAGGGCCTAATTATTATTTTTTTTTTGGGGGGGGGAGAGGCAGTGAGCATTTTCCCAGCTGAAACTGAAAATGCCCAGCTTTTAATTGCTTACATCCCCCCACATGCACCACCCACAGGTAATCACATAATAGATATCTCAGGCATACATGGTTGAAGTCTTCATGGCGAATAATGTAAATATACTTTTTTATTTTTAACTTCTCATTCCCATACTTTTTGCCCGACTTGTGTTGAAAATTAGCAATATTTTTTTCTGGGGGCAGTTGCCCTCCTGCCCCCCGCTTTGTACGTTTATGACTGACTGTAAACCACTGACTGTAACTCTCTTTACGTCAGGGGT